TGGAGATTGTTCGAAGACGCGTATTTGCCCAGAACGAATGATAATTTTCTATATATGACATAACGATAAATAGCAAACCATCTTCATCAAAATCGAGTTTTTTGGCAATCAGACGTGGTGGTGAATTCTCTGATTCCGATGAGGTCCAGTAACTAGACCACGCAACGACGCAACATTCTCCCAAGCACTTAACACTTTGCGCTATTCAAATGAAGATTCCAATTTGCTCCAACGTTGAACAATTAACATACTTGAAGTAACGAACATTACTGGGGTGATTTAACTTGGAAAAAAGCTTCGCCTCACGAGTAATCTTTCTAGAATACATTTCATCCGTAAGATCCAGGGATATATACTTTACGGCACAGTCATTCCAATCAAGCTTGTTGCTGTAAGCAATGAACAATGAAAAATGTAAATACTGGAGAATTTTTGGACTTGCAAACCCACCGCGCCTGGTATACTTCGCCGAAAGCTCTTCGCCCAGACATCGCTGGAGCATAAACCTTAGCAAGTCGAGTGTCCTTCTGCTGCACTGGCACAATGCGCTTATAGGGCGCACCGTAGCGCTCTTCAGACTCAAACACCATCACACCTAAATAGTCGTATAAGTGTTGCAAATGCAGTTGGTGAGGCGAATTACGCACTATTAAAAAACTGCTGTTGTACAAGTTTGTCAATATTCTTCGCACTTGCACAAGCTTCTACGAAATTGCGCAACCAATCAGGCGTGCTTCATCAAGAAAAGTAATCTGAAAGACTGCGATAAGGTCAAAAAGCTCGTAAGAAGTGCACTTGAAGAAATCGGATCGCTTGTCGACGACCATATCTAAAAACATCAGAAGAATGCGATACCTTCAATAAGTAGAATTTCGATGATAATGAAAAAGTGTTGTCAGCTAAAGCAAGATCAAGCAAAGCTTGATGCAATCCGCCTTCCTTCCCTCTCCCCTCCTATAGTGTCAATCTCCGTGGTTTAGGTAAGGCAACGAAAGAAACAGTTTATGCGTCGCAAAGGAACTTATCCTGACCATGATTTCTTTCACAACTTCCAAGATCCTTCAAATCCCGAGTTCTCCTCGCTTTTTCATCATCA